ACAAACCTGCTGTTCTCCATCGCTGCTTCTCTTTGTGGTGGCTTCATTGGCAGCCAAAAGCCGCCCTCCTGGTGGCAAGGTGGCCGCCTGTAGTACCAAGCTTACATCACCCCAGCTTCACCTCCACTTTCAGAATGGGGTATTTCCCCCTGATCTTCCAACAAAAAAATCTAACTCTATGGTGCTGAGCAGCTGACCTCTGGTCACATGCTAATCTGGAACCAATCAATCTCTATGGCTAGGGGGTTGTAGGCCCCTCATTGGCTAGGAAGGAGTCCTAGACCCGCCCCTGGATCTAGGAGATGAGGCCAGTTCTGTGGGAACAATAAGGATTGAGGGAGGGCCAGGGAAGATTCTCATAAAGAAAACCAAGCAAGGAGGATGGATGCTGACTGTGCAACCCCCTTCATCCACCCTGGGAGCGGTCCTCTATCATCTCCTAAGACTCCCTGTGCACCAGGCCTGCTTCCGCTTCTTCTCCAGCACAGCTGGACTCTATCTTCCAACTTCCTTTGCAGCTAGGTGTGGCCATGTGACTAAAGCCTAACCAATGGAATTTGAGAGGAAAGGATGTCATAGCCGGCTGGACCGGTTCATTTCCGTATTGCTGCCCTCCATGCTCTTTGTCCTTGGGCTGGGTCGATGCAGATGAGTCCGGTGACCTGGGAACCATGTTGGAGATGGCAGAGCCACCAAAGGAAGGAGCATGGGTCTCAGTATTGCCAGTCCCCCCAGCAGAACACCTGCTTTGGACTTTTCGTGACCGAGAAATGAACTTCTATGACGCTCAAGTCCTTACATATTTTGGGGGGTGATTGTTACAGCAGTTGGCTTACCCTGACTAATGAACAGGTGAGGCTCAGAGGGGTGACATGCCTTGTCCCAGGCTACACATCCTGTAAGGGGCTGAGCCCAGATTCAAAGCTAGGTCTGACCCTAGTCACAACCCACTGGCAGCAAAAGACAGAAACGTGTTTGAACGGTGACAAATAAAGGCAGGTCTATGGGAAAGACACAGGACTGTGCCCTGTGGAATCTGGGGGAGGCGAGGGCAGAAGTACAGTAGAGGCTCTTGAGGAACGTGAGTGCCATTAGGGAGTCTCTGTGTCTCTCTCTGTCTCTCTTTCTTGCTCTGACACCACATGGCATCTTGTCTCCATTTCTTCTTTCACGTGGACTTGGTTTTCCTCTCTGCCCTCCTACGGCTGTATTTCAGATGATGTTAACTCTAGCGTCTAACACTGCTCTTAGCATCCATGGCCTCCGATATACTCTCTGGCTCACTGCTGAAACTCTCAAGAGGGAGCTAGGTTGGCTCTGCTCGCCTGCCTGTGGCTGAGGACTCTTGGGTCAGGGCCCTCCCTGTCCGCTCAGCTGAGGCAGGGGAGGTTCCATGGCCAGCTCAGGCTCCTCCCAGCTTTTTCTCTTCAGCCCCAGACACACAGCTGCCCTAAGACGCCTGCAGCTGGAGTCCCGCGCGCCCCTCACACTCCGCTTGGCCCCCCGTGCTCTCCTTGACTCTTCTCCTGACCTCAACCTGCTGCTTGCCCCCCTCAGGGCTAAACCCCTCATCGTCCCACTCTTGGAGCCAGAAATTCGAGAGTTGGCTGTGACTCCTTATGTTCTCTCATCTCTGAATCTAATCCATTTCCAAGTCTGATTCATGGCTTCCCCACTCGGCCTTGGTCTAGACCTCATTTTTCTTTGGAACGATTTTGGGGTTCTTTCAGCCTGTTGTCCCCTCCAATTTCTTCCCCACACCAACTTCCAGCAGGAACGCCTTTCTTTAAAAATATATATATGTATATGTGTGTGTATACACACACACACACACACACACACATACACACACATATAATATATTAATTGATTTCAGAGAGGAAGGGAGAGGGAGAGAGAGATAGAAACATCAATGATGAGAATCATTGATCGGCTGCCTCCTGTACGCTCCACACTGGGGATCAAGTCCAAACCTGGGTGCGCCCTGACCGGGAATTGAACCGTGACCTCCTGGTTCATAGGTTGATGCTCCACCACTGAGCCGCGCCGGCCAGGCCAGGAAGCTTTTCTTTAAGGCAAACCTGACCCCATCTCTTCATTTCTTTTTTTTTTTTTTTTTTAATATATTTTATTGATTTTTTACAGAGAGGAAGGGAGAGAGATAGAGAGCCAGAAACATCGATGAGAGAGAAACATCGACCAGCTGCCTCCTGCACATCTCCTACTGGGGACGTGCCCGCAACCCAGGTACATGCCCCTGACCGGAATCGAACCTGGGACCCCTCAGTCCGCAAGCCAACGCTCCATCCACTGAGCCAAACCGGTTTCGGCTCATTTCTTATAAAGCCTTCAGTACGGGCTACTATAGAGCAGCGCTCTCAGTGCCCTAGCCCGGCCTCTCTGGTCTGCTCCCGATCCTGGTGCTCATGCTCCTTATGATCCGGCCGAGCTGAGGAACTGAATCACTGTCCCTGGCACATAGCCGAGGTTTCCCACTTTCAACTCACGCTGCTTTTTCTGCCTGCAACCCCTTCACCTCCATGTGTCTAAACCTTTCCAGGAAGAGCTAGCTATCCGTGCCCCCATGCTCCACCCTGGCCCCCTCAGGTGAGGTGCCCTATACCAGAGAGATGGTAAGTTTCACCACCACCTGTTCTGTGAGGAAGTTGGAAAGAGCTGGGACGGGGTTTCAAGCCTGCAGCCCTCTGTATATGGCAGCGGGGAGGGGGGAGGATAGAACTGTCCTTTGGATAGCATGTCTGTGGCCGCGTCACCCTGGCCACCAACTATGTGTCCAAGTACAGGTAGAGGGCACCAGCAACCAGACAGGTAGTCTGAGTGTGACATGACCATGTGCGGTTCTGTGGGAGCTTGGAGGCATGCCCAGAGGTTGTCAGGAGGGCAGCCAAGCAGGTGGGCATGCTGACAGGTGTGTGAGCCTGCCAGGTGGGGGCTACAGTTGCTGGCAGCGCTTTGCCCTGCCTGTGGTGGTTTGGAGGCAGAGTGGGGTGGGGTGGGGTGGGCCGGAGAAAGGGAAGGTAGGCTAGCCTGCCAGAGCAAACAGGCAGCCGTCAGGCCCTACCTTCTACAAACACCCTCACACCTGAGGGTCGGGTAGAATGGAAAAGGCTTAGGGTTAAGGTCCCTGGGCTGGCAAAGGGGCTTCAGCCCCAGGATGTGTCTGGGGGGAGGGGCATAGGGCTCCCTGCTGCTTGAATGCCTAAGGCTTCATGTTCCTGGGACAGAGACTCTGGTGGGGAGCTATAGGGCTCTGTCCTCACCTAGCCCTGGCTAACAGTTTTTCCTGGCAACTTAGGAACACAGGTGGGGCTGTCGTTAGGGACTGGAGTGGTGAGAGAGGAAAGGAGGGGGTGGAAATGCCAGGGATATTGGACTTGAGATCTAAAATGTCAGGCTGGAAGGAGCCTCAGCCAAAACACCAGCATTCCCCTACCTCCCAGGCACAGGCGGACCCAGCGGGGCCCTGGGAGTCAGTCTGGGTGACCCGCCAAGGCGGAGCGAAAGGCTGGGCCATTCGGTCCACCAGCCACCGAGTATCACCGCTCAAGGAGGCACGGCCACGGGGCACAGAGGAGCCCTGCAGTCCTGTCCTGCAAGGAAGAGGTCAGAATCGGGTACACGTGGCTGGGTAGAGTAAGCAACAGGGCCAGGCTGGCAGGCGTGTGTGTGTGTGTGTGTGTGTGTGTGTGTGTGGTGTGTGTGTGTCGTGTGTGTTTGTGAGGTGTAGGGAGTGTGGTGTGTGTGAGGTGTGTGTGGTGTATGTGTATATGTTGCGTGTGTGTTGTATGTGTATGCTGTGTATGTTGTGTGTTATGTGTGTTGCATGTTGTGTATGTTGTGTATTGTGTGTGGTGTATGTTGTATGTGTGTTGTGTATGTGTGTTGTGTGTGTGAGATATGTGGTATGTGTGGTGTGAGTGTGTGGTGTGTTTGTGTCATGTGTGTGTGAGGTGGGGGTGTGGTGTGTGTGGTGTATGTGTGTATGTTGTGTATGTGTGTTGTAGGTGTGTCGTGTGTATGTTGTGTGTGTGTGTTGTGTGTGTTATGTATGTTGTATGTGTGTCGTGCATGTGTGTGTGTAGTTCCAGTGTCTGGGAAGGCTTTCTGGCTGCAGAGGCACTAAAGGGTTTGGGATTTGAACAGCCGGCCGGGCGGGCTCCATCCTGGAGCCTCTGACCTTGTGCCCCAGTGGTCAGCCGAGGCCAGCTGGTGGGGCACGATTGCCCGGGGTGATGGCTGGGTCTCTCACCCTGGAGGGGGTGCCAAGCAGACTCTTCTCTGCTTCCCTGGCCTGCAGCCCCTTCTGGCCCCCTCCCGGGCGGAGCTCAGGGGCACCGGAGGGTTCTGCTGGCCCTCTGCTCCCTGGCCTCTGTAGGGAGCCCCACCCCACCCGCCCCCGCAGCCACATTTCCTGCTGGGGTCAGGGTGCGCTCTAGGGTGACAAGACTCGTTTGCATTCTCATGTACTGGGTCATTGTTAGAGGTCTGCTTGTAGGGGGGTAGCGTCTAGTCACTGGACATTCGGAAAAGAAGGATGAAAGCACAAACATCAGCGATGGCCTCCCGAGGAGACAGGCCTGTTCACGGCCTCTGGGCTAGACCCACCTGCAGAATTCGAATGGGGGTGGGGGTGGGGGTAGGGGGTAGGGAGCCCCTGTAAGGACAACTCCATTTGGCAACTTCCCAGGACCCAGAGGACTCAAAAGGAGGCAGCGCAGAGGCCCCGTGCTCCGAAGCCCACCCGGCTTTTGGCCCTTGGAGGCGCCCTGAGCTCTGCGACCCCGGCCAGGGTCACCCGGGCCACGGACCCTTGGCTTCCGCTCGGGGCGCTCCCCTCCGGCGGCCTCAGTTCCCTCTTCTGCAAAATGGGCGGGTGGCCAGCCTCTGCGCCCCGGGGCGCTGCGGGGGCGGGGCGGCGGGCTCCGAGGGCGGCCGGAAGGGGTGTCAGTGCGGGGGCGGGCCCCGCGCCGCCCCGCCCCGGGGAGGGAGCCCGGGGCGCAGCATCCTGGCGCGGGCCTGGGCGGCCGCTGTCACTGCCGTCGGGGAAGGTCCCAGCGCGGACATGGCCTTTGGCGGCGCCCGCCTGGGCCCCGGCCCCCTGTGCTCCGCGCAGTAGCCGCGCACAGGCGGCCTCGACGGTGCGGACGGCGCAGACGGCCGGGCGGGCGGCATGGAGGCGGCGCACCTGCTCCCGGCCGCCGACGTGCTGCGCCACTTCGCGGTGACGGCCGAGGGCGGCCTGAGCCCGGCGCAGGTGACCAGCGCGCGCGAGCGCTACGGCCCCAACGGTGAGCGCGGGGCGGCGGGGCCGGGGGGCCGGGGAGCCGCGCCGCAGCCCCAGGTTTCCCCAGCTCCGCGCGGCCGCGGGGGGCCCCCCCCTACCCACCCCCCCCAGCTCGCGGCCCCCGCGGGCGGGCAGGAAGCGAGGGCTCCGGAAGCCTCTGCAGATGTTCTTGGGGCGCCCGGCGAGACTGCGCGGCCACCTTCGCCGCGGGCGATGGGGTGGGCGGGTTCGGGTCTGGAGACGGGACTCCAGGCTCCCCCTCCGCGTCCCCTCCCTGCAGCCCCAGGGACCTGCGCAGCCCTTCAGACTCCCTCTCCCCCCCCCCCCAGCCCCATGCACCCCTGCAGCTGGAGCCCACCCCGCCGCGGTCAGCGACGGGTCTGCGCGGCGGGCATACCCCCCCCCCCCCGCGCACGGTGCAGGTGTGCACCCCGACCGCTGGCGGGGGGCCCGCGGCACTGAGGCCCCAGGTCTCCTCCGGGGGCTCAATAGCGTGCCCGGAGGCGCAGCAAGTCAGCTGGCAGCCGGGCGCCCCCACCCCCACCCCCACCCCGAGGCCTTCCTCTTTCCGCAGCCCCAGGCGGATGTGGCTGGCGGGAGTCGGTGGGGGCTTTGAACTGCTGGGGCGAGACCCACCCCCGGAGGGTGGCAGATTCAAATCCTCACTCAGGGAGCTGCTTGGGGAGCCCTTCACCCCTGGGTGACCCAGAGCGGTGCTGCCCACCTCTGGGCAGGGAGGGGGCCTTCTCGCTGTTGCTGTCTGGGGGGGAGAGGTATCATTTCTTCAAAGGAATGTGGGGTTCTCCATCCACCCACAGGCACAGCGAGTGCCAGGGGCTGCGCGGACGTGCCCCGCCGCTCGGAGGCCTTGGGGAGAGGCGGCAGGTGCGAGGCCCTCCCCAAGTGCCGTCCAAGGCAGGGCTGTGCACACCTTCGCCGCTGCAGACTTAGAGGCGCACACGGACATGCCCCCCCTCCCACCCCGTCCCCAAAGCACAGCTTGAGCTTGAGTCCCTCAGGGCTTGGGGCCTCGCCCTCCCAGGGTTCCCCTCGCCCTCCCGGGGTCCCCAGGCAGCCAGAGGGGAAGGCGCCCTGGCCCGAGTGCCTCACTGCTCCCAACTGGCTCAAGATTAAGAAGAGCTGTCAGAAAGGGAGCTTGGGGTTTTGTATTGGTTTAGAAAAACCACCTCTTATATAAATATTATCTTTCTGGAGCAGAAATCCTTTTTCAAAAAAATTAGTTGCTATATTTAGTTGCGCTGTGGGAGGAACTGGGGAGATAAATATTATTTAATGCCCCCATTAGTGACTTGGCAGGGAGGGTGTCGCTGCTGCAGGACGGCGGGGGGCAGGGCCTGTTCCCTGACCCTGGGGTGGAGGTGGGGTCGCGGTGGAGGTGGAGGTGGGGCCGGGGCGGGGCAGCAGGTCCGGGAGTCCACAGCCTCTTTGCTGCTGTGGCCTCCCGCGTGCGAGTCCCGACTCCCAGGGGAAACTGGAGACCCAGCCCCTGGTTCTGCCTCCAGTCACACAGGTGCTGTCCTGTAGGACCCTGGCCACTACCCCTCTCCTTTCTGACCCCATGTCTTTGTTGGTCCAGCAAAAGGGGCTGATTGAGAAGGAGGGAGACCCTAGTTCTCGCCATGCTCCTTTGCCTGGGCGAGGTGCCCTGGCCACTGAGCGGGTGTGTGAGGTGATGGACAAGGACGGTGGTGTGCTGTGTGGGTCCGCAGAGGGGGGTGTGCACTAGGAGCGGGGTGTGTGCATTAGGAAAATTTGGGGGGCCATTGATGGCTCCCCTGAGTCCTCTGTGCTTTGACTGTAGTGATAATGAAAGCTAAGTGTTCAGTAAGCACTTACTATGTGCCAGGCACTGTTCTCAGGACTTTCATCTCTCATTTCTTCTGAGAACAGCTGTTGTCACCTGCATGTTAGAGGAGACAACTGAGGCACCAGGAGCTTAGTCCACTTGCCCAAGGTCACAGAGCAAGGGGCAGAGCTGGGACGGGGTGCCTATCCCCATCCGTGCCTCACTTTCCCTGTCTGTACAAGGGGCTCATAGTTTCTACAGGCTCTGGGACCTGGTGTGGGTGCCTGTGCTAGGAGTTGGGGTCAGCTAGGCAGGAGCTATTCCAGCTCGGCCCCCAGCCCCTCTGAGTCCCAGAGGGCTCTTCTGGTGTCTTTTCCTCAGGAGGCCTCAGGGCTCTGGACGTGGTCAGGTGAGGAGAGGAGAGCCAGCTGCCCCTTCCCGCCTCCTGCTTTCCCTGCCCAGCTCCTGCCTGAGGGGGAGGCCGGGGTGTCCTGTGGTTGCTCCCGGCACAGCCTCTGAAGGGGACTGACAGGGGCGTGGACCCTAGCTCTGCCCCTTCATAGCTGCGTGACCCTGGGTAAGACCCTGCCTCTCTGTGCCTCAGTTTCTTCATGCTAAGTGAGGCTACAAGAGGCTCCGTGTCACAGCGTTGTTTGTGAGTGTTCGTTACACCAAACCATTCCTCCTTGTAGCAGAAAAGGCGGGCCTGGCTTTGGGCCAGAAACTGGATGGTGGGGTGGGCTGGCCCCGCTGGTGGAGGGGAACACCCCAGGGACTAGCGTCCCCCCAACCCCAGGAATCTATGCACCTGCAAGGTCGTTAGCGCTGGTAACCACAAGGAAGTCATTTGCTTAAGTCCTGAAGTTTGCAAATTCTGCCAGCGGGGAGGCAGGGACGGGATCCCGCCCTTTCACCTCAGAGCTGGGGGAGGGGCCTCAGCTGTGCCCTCAGCGAGGAAACCAGCCAAGGAGTCCCCCATACACACAAAACACCGCCTGTCCCAACCGCAGCCGAGCGGGGTGTCCTCTGAGGCCTGGCCGGGCAGTGAGCAGCAGGCTCCTTGCCCACTGCCGTTCTCGGCAGGTCCCAGAGGTGCCCAGGACTCAGCTCCCTCAGGGGAAGGGTTTTCTACATCCTTTAAGTTTATTTTTTGAACAAAAATTAAAATGTGCACGAGGGACAACGTTCAGAGGGCAAAAAGGATACACAGTCATGCCTCCCCAGCCCTGTCCCCAAACATGAACTCCCAGCGTCCCGGGTCTTGGGTCTCCCCCCCCAGACATTGTGCTCATGTGCACGCCTAGACCTGTGATCCATCATCATTTTACACCGAGGAGCGGATTGCTCTGGCTGCTGGGCCCCTGCTTCCCCCAGGACAGGCCTCGGCGGTGGTGCCCCGTGGAGCTTCCTTGGGCTCCCCGTGGTTTTATCCTGTGGCCGTCCCAGCGTTTCTTCTCCGGCCTTTGCTGGGCACTAGGCTTGTTCGCAGCCTCTGCCATCACACCAGTTACAAGGCATGTCCTTGACCCCATATCACTTCACTCTTGCGAATATCACTGAAGGGTGAATTCCTAGAAGTGGAATTGCTGGGTCAAAAGGCACGTGTAGTTAACGTCTGATGGTCGTTGCTAAATCGTTCTCCATAAAGTCGCACCGGCTGACCTGCCGGTTGCCACCTCACCACGGCAGTGTGCTATTGGCCGCTTTCGTTTGCGCCAACCTGCTGAGAAAAGTGTCCTCTGGTGGTTCCGGTTTGCATCTCTCTGCTTCCGAGTCCGCTTGGGCATTTTTTCAGAGGCTTAGGAGCCATCCGATTTCCTTATGTCATGAACCGGCTGGCCGTCACCTTTCTGGATGTGAGCCAAGGCAGGAGGCAGCAGCCAAGGTCGGGCATCCTGTTAAGTGGGCCAACACCCAAGGTCCCTGGAAAGCCTGGTGACGTGGGAGTGGGGAGGGATCCTGGGAGCCCCAGGGTTGGTATCTTTTTAGGGGAGCTAGCTTCCTGGCTCTCAGGCAGCCATCTGTGTGGTGGGTGTGCCGGCCGCAGGGCTGCCAGGTGGAAGGGCTGGCTTGCAGTTAGATTCCTGCCAGCAGTGTCAGCTGTGGCCTTATCTCCTGCCCTTAGCGCGGGCCCCAGGTGGCCGCTGGAATTTTTCGGAAACCCACAGAAACCAGGTCAGGAGGACTGGGGCAGGCAGGAAGGAGGAGGGAGAGAGATGCGAGGTGCCAGCCTCAGGCAGACCTGCCCTCCTTGGCCTCCGTGTCTGAGGCAGAGCAGAGATGGGCCCTGAGACCCCTTCAGGATCTGAGGGGCGTGGCTCTGCAGGGAGTTAGAAGCTCCAAGCCTTTCAGGCTTCACTCTGGTTTCCACACCCTTATTGGGCAAACTTAGTGCCCCCTCCCAGGGACGGCCTCAGGCCGGTCCCCTCAGAACTCCCCATCCCCCTGCACCAGGAGCTTCCTGAGGCGGGGCCAGGTCTGCCCGAAGCACAGCTGGCGCATGGACGCTGAGCAAAGCCTTCTCCGGGTACTTTAGCGCCAGATCAGCCAGGCAGGCAGGCGTGGGCCCTGGAGAGCAGGACTCGCTTCCAAGGCCCCCTGCAGCGCAGGGCCAGGCCGCCCACTCTAGGTGGGCCCTGGAGACCGGGCAGGGCCAGGTGGGCTGGGCGGGGCTGCCCAGGTAAGGCCTCTCCTTTATTCTGCAAGTGACAATTTAATTGCTCTGTAAATTTACCTTTGAGGAAGACCTTGGTGAGCACTTGCCTCTCCCGGCTGGAACTGACATTTAGAAGCTGAAATACCAGTTTCCAATGTTGTGAGAAGGAAGGAGTCCAGAGGGGGGAGTGAGGGGAGCAGGTGGTGCTTGGGCCCTGGGGACAGCCCTGGCCCTGTACCACCTTCTCCCGGGCTCTGGTCTGTGGGCAACTGAGTAAACAGCCCTGCAAAGCTGTGTGGGCCCAGGGGTGACTCAGCGCCCGCTGCCCTGAAGGTGCTCAGCCAGGTGGGGCGGCCCCACACTGATGACTGGCCAGAGCAGGGTGATCGGGGAGGGGACTTCTCCCCTGGGAGAAGCCTTCCTGGGAGGCTGGGGTTCAGATGAGGAGATGGGGAAGGGCGTCCTGCACAGAAGGAATGGCCCCAGCAAAACCTTGGAGGGGCGACACCAGGGGAGGTGGTGGCAACCCCGAGTCACCTCGCTTGCTGGCAGATGTCTAAGATTCTGGAAGGTCAGCCGGGCAGATCTGGGAAGGCCTTGAAGACCATGTTAAGGATGGTCTTTATTCTGCAGGCCAGGGAGAGCCACTGGAGATCACAGTGGAGACAGGGTCGTTCATTCATTATAGATGTTTATGGAGCACTGACGCGCTTTCCCAGGTGCTAGGGACATGGCACTTAACAAAGTTCTGTCACGGAGCCTACATTCTAATAACTATTATGGCTAATGTTTCTTGAGCACGTACGGTGTGCAGTGCATATTCTAAGTGTTTATGCATAGCATGCCATTTAATCTTCACACCACCCCTATGACATAGTGACTGTGATCACCCCCATTTTGCAGATGGTGAAACTGAGGCCCAGAAGGGGTCACAGCGCTACCAAGAGATAGAATAGGATTTGAAGTCAAGTCCTCTGGTCCAGACTCCTTGCTCTAACCCTGAAGTTTCTCTGATCACATTCTCTTTTGCCCCCCAGGACCCACAGGCTAACTCCCAACACCCCCTTCACACCCAGCCCGCCTCGGGCAGCCCAGCCCCACATCAGGCATCTGTGGGCATGGGCCGAGCAGAGGTGGGCTGGGAGGGGCCCTTAGTGGGAGGTCCAGAGGTCCTCCAGAAGAGCAGTGGGGCTGCCTGTTCCCGGGTACGCCCAGCGGGCCCTGGAGGGAGCACTCCTCCTGTGCAGCCTGGCGGATGGCGCCTCGGGTGGGCAGGGTGGGGCATTCTCCTCATTTAAAAAGTGGGCATCTGGCACTGCTGAGAGCCCAATGCCACCGTTTCAGGGGGAACTGGTTCAGCCCTCCCCCACTATGTGCAGCCGGGTCGGATAGCAAAGGGGAGCCAGCATCGTGCAGGGATGCCCGGGGAGCGGCTGGAGGACACTCCATAGCCCCTGGGCTCGGTCACGTGACAGGAGAATTGGTCATCTAGACCAATGGTTCTCAACCTTCTGGCCCTTTAAATACAGTTCCTCATGTGACCCAACCATAAAATTATTTTCGTTGCTACTTCATAACTGTAATGTTGCTACTGTTATGAATCGTCATGTAAATATCTGATATGCAGGATGGTCTTAGGTGACCCCTGTGAAAGGGTCGTTCGACTGCCAAAGGGGTCGCGACCCACAGGTTGAGAACCACTGGTCTAGGGTTTTGGCAGGATTGGAGTTTGAAGCAGACCAGGCCTGAGCTGGCAGAACCTGGTAACCCCCAACAACCCCTGTGAGGAGAGCAGAGCCTGTGGGCACGGATGGTTTTGGCTGGTGGCTCTGGGGCCACAGTAGAGGGACGAGCCAGTTGATAGAAGGAGAGCCATCCAGCTCAACAAGCAGGACATGAGACACCAAGATTTTTCAGGTGACCTTGGCTCGGAGGGGCAGAGGGACCGGGAAGGCAGGACAGCCTAGGAGTTAGTGCAGGAGGTCGAGAGGGTTGAGCAGAGGGTTGAGAACTAGACTACCTGAGCTCAAAACCATTCTTGCCACGCCCACTTCCCGCTGTGTGACCATAAACTAGTCGCCCAACCTCTCTGGGCTCCAGTTGTCTACTCTGTAAAATGGGAATAAAAATGGAACGCTCCTTCTCAGGTTGGTTGAGAGTCACCGGAGAGTAATGCACGTGAGGCGCTAGCAGGGCGTCTGGCACACTCAGCACTAATAATTCCGCGGGAATTTATCGCGAGCGCCCCTCTGTGCTCAGCAAACAGTGCCCTCCCATTTACCTTTGGAGATGAAGGAGGTAAAGCACCTGGCGCGCTGCTTGGTACATAGTAGGTGCCCAGTAGATGGGGTTCTTATTAGCGTTAACGATTATCTTCACAGCAGCCCTTCAGGGTAGGGTGGACCCCCGTCTTCCAAATGAGGCTCAGAGCCCCCCAGGAGCCAGCTGCTCAGGCAGGACAGAAGCACATGTGTGTGCATGTGCAGGTTGGGCAGGTTCTCTGCTGTGATCGAGTGGCTGGCTGAGCCTCCCCCAGGGACAGTGAGTGGGGGGCCGGGGGGAGCCTTGTGGTAGAAGCCAGGTTTGGGGAGAAGCGGGTATCAGTCAGGACCAACTAGACCAGTGATGGCGAACCTATGACACGCGTGTCAGAGGTGACACGCGAACTCATTTTTTGGGTTGATTTTTCTTTGTTAAATGGCATTTAAATATATAAAGTAAATATCAAAAATATACGTCTTTGTTTTACTATGGTTGCAAATATCAAAAAATTTCTCTATGTGACACGGCACCAGAGTTAAGTTAGGGTTTTTCAAAATGCTGACACGCCGAGCTCAAAAGGTTCGCCATCACTGAACTAGACTATGCTGCTGTAACGACCCCCAAATCTCAATGGCTTCAAACAATAGGGGTCCCGTCTCGCCCACTCTGAATATGTGTATGTCAATGGCAGGTCACCCGCGGCTCTGTCTCCTGCACCCATGACTCAGGTGCCCAGACCAGACACCTCTTGCAGATTGCTGGTCTCTGCAGCGGAGGGACAGAGAGCTCCTGACCTGTGCCGTCCAATAGGCAGCCACTGGCCTCGTGTGGCTATTGAAATGCAAATGAATGAAAATGAAGTAAGATTTACAAGTTAGCTCCGCAGTCACCCTTGCCGCTCGCCACCTTCCCAGTGCTCAGAGCTGCCTGTGGCTGGCGGCTGCGGTGCGGGACAGTGCAGCTGCAGGACACTCGTCTCAGACAAGTTCTTGGACCGCAGTCCAGTGCGACGGCCTGGAACTAACCCAGGTCCTTCTTTTCACAAGTCCCATGGAGGTTGGGAAGTGCCTACAAGGTGGGAGAATCAAAAGTACTGTAAGTTCTCACCTAACGATATAGGTTCTTGAAACGGTTGCAAAACGATGTATAACAAACCCAATTTTATGATAGGCTCATTGATAGAAACTGGTTAAGTTCCTGCGGCATCTCATCAACATGGTAACAAAACGACACTGAACGAAATGTTAGTTGGGGACCTGCTGTATTTGGGGGACAGCATAATGACCACCAAAGAGTGGGTCCTGGGTCAGCTTGGGGGCCAGAGAACAGAAGGGGGGGGCCCGCGTGGAAGGGTAGAGAAAGAACTCACGAGGCAGGGAGAGGGTGGCTTGAGGGGAACTAGCTTCCCAGCCCCAGGCCTTGCTCCTGCCCAGAAAAAAGAATGCGCTGAGAAGAATGGTGGCCTAGGTGCTGTGTGCCTAACGGAGGGTAAGGGAGGCAGCGGGAGGGGTTCAGGTGGGACTTCCAGGTAAGCTACCTTCGGCCAGGGCCCCTGAAGATGCCCGCGGAGGTGGGGGTGAGGGGTCTCCCGGGCAGAGCGCAGCAGAGGCAGGCTGACGTGTGCCCCGAGGCTGGCGCTGCTCCCGCCGAGGTGGGCATGGCTGAGATGGCCGCTCAAGGACCCTCCTCCATTAGGGAATTGGCCCAGAAACCAGGCCTGGCCCTCCCCCCCGCCTTTCCTGTTCACTTCAGCTAAATAGATCAGGAGGAACACGTCTGTTTGATTTTAATCTCAACGCAGGACACTGGAGATTACATTTTCCACGGAAAATGTCAGCCGCTGCCTAAAATAGGACTTTGGCGAAAATGCTAGAAAGTGTATTTTTAGGTTATATGTTTCCCTCCTGGATTCCTGCAGCCAAACCATAACGGGCTGCCTGATACTCTTTACGGTTTGGCTGCCAGGTGCAGGCCCCAGATCTTCCAAACAGGTGGTCTGCGAGAGGGTTCCCACGGGGAAAATGATTGGCAGCCCAAAACAGGTGGACAATGTGAAAACTGGTTCGAGGAAGAGGAGGAGGGGGAGAGGAGAGGGGGGGCCAGCATGGGGTGGGGCCTCAGAATCTGACCCAGCTCCCGAGTGATGCCAGTGCTGCTGGCCCAGCCTGTCCCCAGAGGAGCCAGGGAGAGAGGAAGCGGGGCTTAGGTCAGCTGGGCCCCCCGGAGCTGAGCGTGCAGGGGTCCCCCCTGCCTGGCTGCTGGCTGCTGTGGCTGTGTCCAGGGGGAGCCCTGGGGGGTGTGGGCCTGAGACCTCGTCCTGGTGCAGCAGGTGCGTCAGAGGCAACCCAAGCCCATGTTCAAAATTCAAGGGGTCGGGGTGGGGGATATTGATCAGGACTGGGCAGCCGTGGAGAAGGAGCCACACAGGGCAGCTGCTGACTTGCTGTGACCTTGGGGTCCCTGGGGGAGGGGCTAGCCTGGAGGCTCTGGAAGGACTTCTCTGGCCTGGTCTTGTCCTGGGGGAGCCAGGCCACATCAGACCATCCTCAGCCAGAGTGGGGGTGGGTGGGTGGCGGGGCGGAGTGGAGTTCATTCTGTGACTCCAGAGAGCTGTGGGCATGTCTAAATCATCGTGGGGGCACAGAGGGAGGGGCCTACTGCATAACCCAATCGTCTCTTGTCTCCGCATGGCTCCCATGGCTCCCGGATCCCACAGAGCTCCCGACCGAGGAAGGTGAGGCTTGTGCCAGGGCGGGCTGCAAGGCCACTGGGTGACATCCTTGGGCCATTCATGGTCATGTGTGTCCTCCCCTCCTGGACAGAGTGAGGCCCTGCGGAGCCCCAAGCATCGCCCACCTGTGCCTCTCCAGGCCTTGGGCTCTCCCTCTGAATGGTGGTGGTGGTGCGGGGGTTGGGGGGTCGGGGGGGTGGTAGCCAGGCGGTCTCTGAGGCTGTCCCAGCTCTGAATGGGGGCAGGCCGGCTGGTCAGGGGTCCAGGCCTCACACCGTGTTCCTGTTCCCAGGGAAGTCCCTGTGGGAGCTGGTGCTGGAGCAGTTCGAGGACCTTCTGGTGCGCATCCTGCTGCTGGCCGCCCTGGTCTCCTTTGTAAGTGGGGCCCCGTCCCACAGCATCAGGCAGCCGGTGGGAGGCGGGGAGCCAGGCCTGGCCAGTGCTCAAAGCCCCAGGCTCTGAACACGGGGCTGTCCTCCCCGCTATTGGCATCCTTGGGCCCCTGCCCACCCTGCCCTGCTCAGAGGTCTGCTTCCCCTGTGAACCCCTGCAGCCCCCACTGGACCCCACTCCCATCTGTCCCGCCCTGGCTGCCAGCGTCTGCCCCTGCCCCTTCCCCTTCCCATTTTAGCTCAGGGTTTCTCAGCCTCAGCACTACTGACATTTGGATCAGCTGATCTTTGTTGGGGGGCTGTGTTACGCACCGTAGAGTATTTAGCAGCGCCCCTGGCCTCCACCCACCAGATCCAGTGGCACCCCCTGTTGTGACAAGCAAGTCTCCAGAGGTTGCCTAATGTCCCCAGGAAACGAAGTCACCTTGGTTGAGGGCCCCTTCTGTGGCTCCCTGTGCCCCTCAGAAGACTTGAGGCCGTAACCTCTTGCCACCTCCCGGGGCTGCTGCATCCCTTTGCTCTCGCCCCTTCCCGCTGCCCGGACCCCTCCTGGACCCGCAGGGCCATGGGGTCAGGATGGAGTGGAGAGGGGGCAGTGGTTGTCACTGGGGACTGAGCAGCAGAGACCCACGGGTGATGCAGGCACATGGCTGCCCTGAGGGTAGACGGGATTCCTGCTCCCATCCAGCGCCCAGCAGGGCCTGGGCGGAGACCTGGTCTTGGGGACTTGGAGCGGAGGGGCAGCAGGGCCCTGGGGGGACTGACCCTTCCCCTCTAGCCAGCTGTGTCTAGCCCTCCTGGCCACTCCCTGTCCCTGTGGAAACTGAGGACTCTTACAGAGAAAAAAGTCTACCCTAAAATGGCTGAGCCGAAAGGGTGCTGGTACGGACGGACACACTGAGGCAGTGGAGGGGAGTGGCAAGTTCCCAGTTAGGCCGAGCGGTGGGAATGAGACTGGAACCGGGTCTCCTGCTTCAGGCCCGGGCTCTGGCTGCAATCATGTGGGTCTGGCCACCGGCCTCTGGGCGGGAGCCTGAAGCAGGACCAGCTGGGCTTGTTAAAACAGACTGCGGAGCTGCTGACTCCGGAGGGCTGGGATGGACCCCGAGAATCGCATTTTAACAGGTTCCCAGGTGGTGCTGCTGCTTGTGGCGGTGTGGCCCCCACGCTTGGAAAACCTCAGCTAGGCAGACAGCGAGACCTGCAGCTGTCAGCTGTGCAACTGGCCCACGCCCCTGAGAGCTGGCGGGTGGGACTGGGCTGTGGTGGTCGCTACCCACAGAGGCTGCGTGTCTGCCACGGCCTCAGAGCAGCCCTCTCCATGCCCCCAGGGGCATCTTCCCCCAAAGCGGGGGAGCAGACAGGAGACCCGGGACACAAAGGAAGTGGCCAGCAGACCCTGGCCCACAGCAGAGCCCCAGTTCACCAGCTTTGACCCTGGCAGGTCCTGGCCTGGTTCGAGGAGGGCGAGGAGACCATGACGGCCTTCGTGGAGCCCCTGGTCATCGTGCTGATCCTTGTGGCCAATGCAGTCGTGGGCGTGTGGCAGGTGGGAGACATGGGGGTGGGGCTGGGCTGCTGGGTGCGACCTCTCCCTGGTGCTGGAGTCCTGCAGGCCCTTCTGCTTCCAGCTCCAGCCCAAGCCCCAAGGGTGTCCCTCCAAGAGGGGGGCCTGCTGGGGCCAGGAGTGCAGACCACGCCCGCCCTGTGCTGCAGGAACGCAACGCCGAGAGTGCCATCGAGGCCCTGAAGGAGTACGAGCCCGAGATGGGCAAGGTGCTGCGCTCGGACCGGACCGGTGTGCAGAGGGTCCGCGCGCGGGACATCGTCCCCGGAGACATCGTGGAAGTGGCGGGTACATTGGGGGCCTCTTCTCTTCCGTGGTGATGCTGGCGGCCCATCCCTCTGGGTGCCCCCGTCTTTCTGGCCGTCTATGTAGATCTCTCCAAAGCTCTTGGCCCAAACCCTGTTGGACAGGTGAGACCGTAGGCCAGAGGACAGGGCCCACCTGAGGGATCACAGCTGGGATCCTGCCTCCCAGCCCCAGCCTTGGGTCCTGGCAGCCCTCCTGGCTCTTCCCAGGAACCCGAGGCCGGGGGCGGTGCCCACAGCCACCCTCAGCCACGCCTCTCTCCCTCCGCAGTGGGAGACAAAGTGCCTGCTGACCTCCGCCTCGTGGAGATCAAGTCCACCACGCTGCGAGTGGACCAGTCCATCCTGACAGGCGAGGCCCGGGGTGGTGCCGAGCGGGGCTGGGTCAGGGCCCGGGGGTGTCTTCACACGGGGCTTCTAATTTCCGATTCCATGACCAGGTGAGTCCGTGTCCGTGACCAAGCACACAGATGCCATCCCAGATCCCAGAGCCGTGAACCAGGACAAGAAGAACATGCTGTTTTCTGTAAGTCCGTGCCTTTGCCTGGACAACGATAATAGAGAGAATAATATTTAGATGGGTCAGTTAAAGCCCTACAGGGAAGAGCCTCATCGATTATTGACAACGCATATAAGTTCATAGTAAAACATATAGCTGTGCCTGTGTTCGTTTATCTAATCTTCACAAGACAACACCTTGGTTATCTGCATTTTCCAGCGAGGAAATGGGCACAGAGACGTTAAGTAAGTGGCCCAAGGTCACACAGCCAGTGACTGGCAGAGCTGGGATGTGAATTTAGACATTCTGACTCCAGAGCTTTTCCTCTTACCTGCTAGGTTTATCCTGCCTTAAACTGGAGAGGGGTCGAGTTTGCCTATAGTCATTCAATGGAGAATGTTCTAGAGCAGCGGTTCTCAACCTGTGGGTCGCGACCCCTTTGGGGGTCGAACGACCCTTTCACAGGGGTCGCCTAAGACCATCGGAAAACACATATATAATTACATATTGTTTTTGTGATGAATCACTATGCTTTCATTATGTTCAATTTGTCACAATGAAACTGGGGGTCACCACAACATGAGGAACTGTATGAAAGGGTCGCGGCATCAGGAAGGCTGAGAACCACTGGTCTAGAGGAAGAGGGTTGCTAAAGTGGTGGAGGATGGCAGGAGTAGTCATTTCTCCTCGGGGCAAACCCACCCCCCACATCACGATGCCAGGCCCCCCTGGCTCTTTTCAGGGAGATTGATGGGTTCAACCCTGTTGGGAGTGACCTGCCCCTGGGGCTCAGAGGGACTTAACTAGTGATGCTCTCAGGCTGCCTGGAAACAGCCTGTAGCCACGCACAGAAGCCACAAGGATGGCTCAGGTCGGTGGGCAGGGCCAGGGCACCACGTTATAAGGGGCTAGAGAGCCTCCCTGGAAGGGAGCAGCAGTGGGAGGTGATCTTCACCCGGAGCTCTTCCTGAGGACGGCGCCCTGCCTTGAGGCAGGGAGGCCTTGGGGTGGGAGGGGACGCCGAGGGCATGCGTGCTCAGGGATCAGCAGCCGTCATTAGGAGCCTTGAAGGAGGTTGCTCTGGCTAACTGCAGGTCATTTCCTCCGCTGAGGGCCTGCGAGTGGGGGGCGGGGGCTGCATGGCTCAGGGCAGAGGCAAGGCTGAGGCTGCCACCAGCACCCCCCTCGCTCCATCCTCAGCTCAGTCACCCGTCTGAGGGGTTCTGAGCTCTGAGCCTCCGGGAGCAGCTGCCTTGGGCCTCTGTTGGACCATTTTTCAGAAGAGGACATGGAAGCTCAAGGCTGGCCGGCCCTTACACTGGTCCTTAAAGTCCTGGCTGCCCAGGATTTGACTCGGGCCTTGGAAAGGGATGGACTTAAGGTCAAGTTTTCCGGATTCGTCCGTAAATATTTACGGATGGTTTACCTGTGATCACAGGCAGTCACATTCCTCGTGGCCGCTTTGTTGTCTATGAATCTTACTTTGATGGGTTGGTTCTATGTTGTGCTGGTTGATTATACTGTCAATATTGGCCTGGCACCCAGGAGGTGTGGCTCAGTAGCTGAGCGTCAACCCATAACCCAGGAGGCCATGGTTCGATTCCCGGTCAGAGTGATCCCCAGTAGTGGGTGTGCAGGAGGCAGGGGATCGATGATTTTCTCTCATCATTGATGTTTCTATCTCTCTCTCCCTCTCCCTTCCTCTCTCTGAAATAAATAAAAACATCGTTTTTAAAATGTTGGCCTGGAGCTTCCTCTGTGCCAGGCACCAGGGTAGGCACTGGGGAGATGGTGCTGAACCAAGCCCCTGCCTTCGTAGAGCTGGCACTGTCACGGAGATGACAGCAATAACTCAACACTGTACAGCTGCTGAGTCCAGGGGCACTAAGCAACATGGAGAAAGAGAGCCACACGGGGGATACGAGCCCGGCCCCGAAGGAGCAGGGGTCCTGGGCCCTTTCCCTGGTGCTAAACAGCTCTTCCCTCACCCCTGGCCAGGGCACCAACATCGCCTCGGGCAAGGCAGTGGGTGTGGCCGTGGCCACGGGCCTGTGCACGGAGCTGGGTAAGATCCGGAGCCAGATGGCGGCCGTGGAGCCAGAGCGGACGCCGCTGCAGCAGAAACTGGATGAGTTTGGGCGTCAGCTGTCCCACGCCATCTCCGTCATCTGCGTGGCCGTGTGGGTCATCAACATCGGCCACTTCGCCGACCCGGCGCATGGCGGCTCCTGGCTCCGAGGCGCTGTGTACTACTTCAAGATTGCCGTGGCCCTGGCTGTGGCCGCCATCCCCGAGGGCCTCCCGGCTGTCATCACTACATGCCTGGCGCTGGGCACACGGCGCATGGCACGCAAGAACGCCATCGTGCGGAGCCTGCCCTCCGTGGAGACCCTGGGCTGCACCTCCGTCATCTGCTCCGACAAGACGGGCACGCTCACCACCAATCAGATGTCTGTCTGTCGGGTGAGTGCCCCGGGCCAGCTTGGGGTCCCACGGGTGTTGCTCTGTGATGCTCAGCAGGCTCCCCTCCTCTCTGGCTCCTTTGTGGCCGGGGGTGGAGGAGAGAACCGGTAGGATGCCCCCTGGTGGAAAACAGAGTCAGGTTTTCGTGGGGCGGAGCAGCAGAATCGGGCTGGACATGTGTCACTAGGCAGGTCATTGCCCACCTGCAAACCTCAGTTTCCTCATCTGAAGTGTGGGTATGTCAGCCCTGCCCGGTCGCCATAAAAGACACAGGAGAGGGTCAAGCACAGCCTTGAGGCATCTGAGTCACGCTGGGCCTGGACCCAGGTTCTATCGTGCTCCGCCATGACTCCCTATGATCAACGCCTGTCATCAGATCCGCCAGCTCCAGTGTCCTGGGAAGAGCCAGGGCAGGAATTATTCATTCCCTGGAATTCGATCCCAGATCCTGGCCCTGCTGCCCACATGCTCCAGGGATTCTGGCTGAGACTCTAGCAGGTGCAGAGGGCAGACGAGTGGGTGCGGTGATGGTGAAGGTTGTGGATTTCTCACCTGTCTCAGGTTTCCCGCTCCCCCCCCCACCCCCCCAGCACTCCTGTCCCACCTCTGCTCTCACCACCTGCCCACTGGGCCTTGGAAATCCAGGCTGTGTGTCTGAGACTTCAAACCCCTATGGAAGCCCATCAGAGGCCGCCGCAGGGGAGGGGGCACCCGCGGCCTGACTGCTGGGCAGCCCCTGACCTGCTAAAATCCCTAATGGGACTTCATTGAACAGTGTCCTTGGCTGAGAAGCACAGGACAGGGCAGCCGTAGAGGCCTTACGTGCTGGGCGATGGCTGAGAAACCTGACTTCTTAGGGCTGTGCTGGCTGGACGGCTGCCCCAGGAGCAGGGAGGGGAGAGGGAGGGAAGGGGCATTTGTTGAGCACCTGCTGGGTGCTGGGCTGGCCATGGGTGTGGGAATGTGCGGCGAGGCAGTTTCCAGGAAGCAAGATCTGTCTCCCTGGCAGAGCTGGCTGGCAGGCAGGGAGTGGGCTGCCCAGGGCAGGGAGAGCCCCATCTCTGGGAGGTACAGGCAGGGGCTGGAGGACCCAGCAGGGTTTTGGGGCGGGAGCTCACTGAGTGTGGACACCTTTGGGCAGGAGGGGTCTGTGCCCTGGAACAGGCTGTGGGTGTTCTCCCTTAGAGGCCAGGAACCCCTCCCCTTGAAGGGAGAGAAGGGGCAGCTGGACGCTGATCCCACTTTCTCTCCAAGTCACTGGTGGAGAAACAGGCTCAGCGCTCAGCCGGGGCTCACACTGCAGGACGGCAGGGCCCAGCTTCCTGCCCCAGCTCAGGGCTCTGTCAAGCTCCCAGCGGGCCCCAGAACATTGAGGAGTCTGCCATAAGCGCTCAGGGGTCCAGAGCAAAGGGACAAGTCAGAACTACACACCTGGGCAGAGCAGAGGTTCCGCCTCAGCCTGGACTCTGTACTATGCACAGCACCTCTGTGAGCCTGTGGGAGGGAAGGCCGGTGGCTCCAATGGGGACCCACAGGACCCCAACCTGGGGCCAGGCTTTGTTCAGACTGGCTGCCAGGGAGGAGGGAGGTGAAGGCCCACCTCAGCAGGCCCCCCGTGCTCCCCATCCTCAGATGTTCGTGGTAGCCGAGGCGGAAGCTGGCGCATGCCGTCTGCACGAGTTCACCATCTCGGGCACCACCTACACCCCAGAGGGCCAAGTGTGAGTGCTGGGCGAGGGGCCGTGGGTGGGCGGGGCTTCCTGGTGGGCAGGGCCAGGGCCCTGGTGCTGACCGCCTGGCTCCTCAGGCTGCAGGGAGAGCAGCCGGTGCGCTGCGGGCAGTTCGATGGGCTGGTGGAGCTGGCGACCATCTGTGCCCTGTGCAACGACTCCGCCCTGGACTACAACGAGGTGGGCCGCGATTCCGTTTTATGGTCTCCCTAGTGCCCAAGCTCCCAGGACAGACCCTTCTCCCAGGGTCTCAAAGCTCCCAGGATTGGTGGCACCGGCCATTTTGGAGTGCCACACCCCAGGAGCACTGCCACCCCAACACACACACCCCCACAACTGCCACCCCTTCCTCTTTCTCGACTGGATTTGGAACCCTGGCCCGGGGCTCTAGGACTGTGGGGGACTGTAATGTAAGGGGCTGCAGGGCCAGGGAGGGTGTTTAAAGCAGAAGGCACAGCCCAGAAAAGGCAAACAGACCACAACAGCCTGAAGTGGTTTAGGCGTGAGCGCCCCTCCCGGTGGCTGGCAGGAGGCCACACCGGACCAGGCCCAATGCCAGGCTGAGGCCAGTCAGTAGCCACCGAAGGGCTCTCACCAAGGGAGTGGCATGGTCAGATTTACATTTACAAATGCCACCCAGGCTTCTGTGTGGAGGATGGAACAGGCAGGGCAAGCCTGGAGCCAGGGAGGCCGATGTGGTCACCCAGGCCAGGGAGCTGCTGGCTGTGGCCTCAGGAAGATGGAGGGTCGGAGAGAGACTTAGGAGCCCAGACCCTGGGACTTGGTAACTGGCTGGATGAGAAGGAGGTGGATGTCAGAGTAGCTTCCTGGCTGTGGCTGTAGCTATAGTTACTAAGGTAGCAACTATAGGGAGAGGCGAGGTGGCCTGATGGTCCCCAACGAACAAAGTCCAGTGGGCAGCAGCTGGACAGGAGGCCTGAGAGCTCAGGGGGCGGTCTTGGCTGGCCGGGCTCTGGCATTCGTGAGCACATGAAGGGTGGGGGAAGCAGGGGCCACATGAGACCTCAGGGAGAGGTGGGAGGGAAGGAGCAGCATCGGAGAGCAGGATTTACGAAGAGGAAGGGATTGGGAAGGAGGCTGAGGAGGGCCAGGAGAGAGAGGCGGAGGGAGGGAGGGAGGCTGCAAGGCCACTGGTGCCGGAGAAGGGAGGGTGGGAAGGGAAGGTGAGCATCAGTGCCAGACTCCACTCAGACCCCAGGTGAGCTGGTCTGGGCAGGGCACACAGGCCTGATGCAAAGGCGGCTGCAGGTACTGGCAGAGGGAGCTCCAAGGGGCAGGAAGTGGGGGGAGGGGAGGCTGGGAGCCCTCTGGGGCCACCCTTCCCCTTACTCCTGTACCCTGGGCCCCTCCAGGCCAAGGGCGTGTATGAGAAGGTGGGAGAGGCCACAGAGACAGCCCTGACTTGCCTGGTGGAGAAGATGAACGTGTTCGACACCAACCTGCAGGACCTCTCCCGAGTGGAGCGAGCTGGCGCCTGCAACGCGGTGAGCGGGTGGGGGCTGGGCCTTCTGGGGCCTCTGGGGAAGGGAGAGAGGAGGACAAAGTCCTGGGAGGCTTCTGGGGGGGGAAGGACCTCAGACCCCCCGACTCCTTGGCTAGGAAGAAAATCGAGGAAAACACTGAGTGAGGCCAGAAACTTGGAGTTGGGAAGTGCACAGCCATGGCAAGGAATTGGCGACCTCACGGCACTTCTGGGGCTGGAGGGGGAGATGGAGGCCTCACACGCGGGGGGCAGAGGAGAGACGCCGGGGGGGGGGGCAGAGGAGAGACGCTGTCCCTCTATAGCAGGAGGCTCTTTAGGGGGCAGGGCGGCTGGCGAGAAGGCAGCAGGTCGCTGGCTCTGCCCCTCACGCCCTGACCCACCTGGGCCCCGCAGGTCATCCGTCAGCTGATGCGGAAGGAGTTCACCCTGGAATTCTCCCGAGACCGGAAGTCTATGTCAGTGTACTGCACGCCTACCCGCCCCAGCCAGGCGGCCCAGGGCAGCAAGATGTTTGTGAAGGTGGGAGCTGCCTGAGTGGCTGGGGCCTCCACATGCGCGGGGTCCCTGGGGTCTCTGGGGTCCCTGGGGGCCCTGGTCTCCAGTCCTCTGAAGAGCACAGGCTGCAGCTGTGAGAGACGAGGGCGGTGTGAGGCCCACCGTCATCAATGGACCCGGAACCAGGGTGGCTGCCTGCCTGGGGGGGCTGGGAGCAGGACCCAGACGTGGTGGAGGGACAGCCAGGGACAGGAGCTGAGGCCTGCCCCTCGCCATGGTCCCCGCTCTGGGCTGAGAGGCACTGCCTGGCCACATGACCTTGGGGTCACCCATGCTCTGCTGGGGGGCTCGGGCTCCCCATCTCAATAGCAGGGCTAGGCTGGCAGCCCTGTGCCTCTGGCTGGGGGCGTGGAGGTGGTTGGTGCCCCTCTTCGGTGCTCCTTCCCAGAGAGGGACGGAACCCGCCCCATCCCATCCAGACCTCTGCCCATCGCAGCCCTGACTTCACCTGCAGTGGCGGTGTCAGCCCCTGTTGGAATGAAAGGCTTCTGTGGGCGGCTTCGAGAACGCAGCCCTGCCTTCGGGGAAAGGGAAAGGGAGAAGGCCCTGATGGAATGCTCAGGGCGGTTCCCAGGCGGGGGGGAGGTCTGAGGTGCAACCTTGAGGTCACTGAGGAGCCTGCCACCCCCCAGACCCGCTTCTCAGAGCCACACCCACCACGCCCTCTGTGTGACTCTATGCTGGTGCCCCAGCAGCGCCCAGCCTGCCTCCTGCTGCTGAGCCCTCTATAGAATTAGGGTCCCCCTTCCCCCCACAATGCTGCAGTCATCTCAGCACAGGCTGGTGGGGGGCGGGCGCCATCCGCGGGGTCCTTGCTTGGCCGCGTGTCCCCCTGGGTGGCCTGTCCCCATACCTGGGCCGCAGTTTCCAGGTGGGTCAGGAGGGAGGAGACGGGTCCTGACTGACAGAGTTGCCCCTCCCCGTGCCACAGGGGGCTCCGGAGAGTGTGATCGAACGCTGTTCCTCAGTCCGAGTGGGGAGCCGCACCGCCCCCCTGAGCACCACCTCCAGGGAGCAGATTCTAGCCAAGATCCGGGACTGGGGCTCGGGCTCGGACATGCTGCGCTGCCTGGCCCTGGCCACCCGGGACGCGCCCCCGAGGAAGGAAGACATGCAGCTGGATGACTGCAGCAAGTTTGTGCAGTACGAGGTGGGTGCGGGCGGCCCGGGGCGGGGGCAGGCGTCTGCCTGAGGCGGCTGGGCGGGCAGCAAGGGGAGGAGGGGCCCGGGCCCCACTGGCATCTGCCCCTCCCTACAGACGGACCTGACTTTCGTGGGCTGCGTGGGCATGCTGGACCCTCCGCGGCCCGAGGTGGCTGCCTGCATCGAACGCTGCCACCGGGCGGGCATCCGTGTGGTCATGATCACGGGGGACAACAAAGGCACGGCGGTGGCGATCTGCCGCCGGCTCGGCATCTTCAAGGACACGGAGGACGTGGTGGGCAAGGCCTACACGGGCCGCGAGTTCGATGACCTCAGCCCGGAGCAGCAGCGCCACGCCTGCCGCACGGCCCGCTGCTTTGCCCGTGTGGAGCCCGCACACAAGTCCCGCATCGTGGAGTTCCTTCAGTCCTTCAACGAGATCACCGCCATGGTGAGCCGGGGGAGGTGGTGCGCGTGGGGGGAGCACATGCCACAGGCTTGGAAAGAGCAGCCGTGAACCCCCGCCTCTGCTTCAGTCTTATTGTTTCCAACATTGTGCTACCAAAACATCTCCGACACACAGACAGACTGAAATAATTGTATAGCGAGAGCTTCTGTATCCACCATCTAGGCCAGTGATGGCGAACCTTTTGAGCCCGGCGTGTCAGCATTTTGAAAAACCCTAACTTAACTCTGGTGCCGTGTCACATATAGAATTTTTTTGATATTTGCAACCATAGTAAAACAAAGATTTATACTTTTGATATTTCTTGTACATATTTAAATGCCATTTAACAAAGAAAAATCAACCAAAAAAATGAGTTCGCGTGTCACCTCTGACACGCGTGTCATAGATTCGCCATCACTGATCTAGATTCTGCAAATCACCTCTTGTTATAATGGCTTTAGCACATACCTAGCCATCTGTCCACCCTTCATCCATCTTTTGTTCGATGCCTTTTGAAGTTGTAGGCGTCCGTCCCCTTCGCCCTCACGTGCTTCAGCATGCCTCCTCTAGAGAGCAGTGTTTGGGTTCCGTTTTTTCCCTTTTTAAGGTAAAACGTGCATGCGGTGAAATGCACTCATTTTAAGCATGGCGTTCATCTGGTGAGTTCTGGCAAATGGCACACCTGTGTCATCCAAACCCTTAGAGGGAGCGTTACCATCAACCTGTGAGTTCCCCACACGCTCCTCCCCGCAGCCCCCTCTCCCGCAGCAGGCAACAGGCAACCTCTGTGCTGATTTTTCCAAGGTAGTGTTGCCTGTCCGAGATTTTCATGTGAATGGAATCACACAGTGTGTACTCTTTTGTGTCTGGCTTCTCCCTTTTGAGACTTGTCCGTGTTGCTGCGGGCTTCCATAGATGATTGCCTTTTTAATTGTTGAGTAGCATTCCATTGTGTGAGCACACCACAGTTTATTCTTTCTCCTGTGCATGGACGTGGGGTTTGGGCCCAGCTTTCTCTCTCGTTCTTTTTTTTTTTTTTTTTAAATATGTATTTTTATTGATTTCAGAGAGGAAGGGAGAGGGAGATGGGGAGAGAGATAGAAACAGCAACGATGAGAGAGAATCATTGACCGGCTGCCTCCTGCATGTCCCCTACTGGAGATCGAGCCTGCAACCTGGGCACGTGCCCTTGACTGGAATCGAACCTGGGACCCTTAAGTCCACAGGTTGTCGCTCTATCCACTGAGCCAAACCAGCTGGGGCCTCTCTCATTCTTGATTGCTGACCTATTCATCAACACTGTCTCACTTTTGACTTAGACCTCGTCTCTGACCTGGCCTCTGCTATTAATTTTGACCTCCAGCCTGACCCAGTCCTTTACTTTCACCTTAATCCTGACCTGTGGCTCAGCGTGGACTTGGATAATGAACTGGGCACCAACCTTGACTTGATTACTTGAAACCTTGTTCTTGACTATATTGTTGACCTTCACAAAGAAGGTCATCTTGACCTTGACCACCTGAATCTGATTCTTTACTTTTAGCTCAACCCTGATATGGGTTTCAGTTTTTACTTGGACCCTGACCTGATCCCTGACATTGGTCTTGATTCCTCCAACCCAGTACTTTATGTTGACTTCAACTTTGATCTGGCTTCCAACCTTGACTTTGACTGAATGCCAGCTTTGACCATGACATCACTCCTGATATGGGCCAGAGCCTTGATTTGGCCTCTGACTTTGACTTGACCTCCACCTTAATCTAATTTGTAATCTTGAACCCGAGTCCAGTCTTGACCTTGACCTTCCCCCTAGACTCCAGCCTTCACCTTGACTATAATACTTAACTGGTCCTTGACCTGAGCCACAACCTTGACCTCATTCCTGACTTGCCCTTAACTTTGTCCTTAACAGAAACTTTATCTTCTGCCCTACATCCAAACTAAATTTCATCCCCACCCTCATTGTTGACCCACCCTCCTGCCCACCTCACCATCTCCTCTGGCCTTAGACCTGGTCTGCTCCCCAACTTTGTCCTTGTCTTCACTCCTTGCCTTCCCTTTAGCCTCATCCTCAGCCCAGTTTCTAAGCTCATGACCCCACCATTTGTTCTGTCCAGCTGTGTGCTTCCGTGGGGACATCCTCTGAGCTTGGGGATAGGCTGAGTTGAAGGGAGTTGGGGAGATAGAAAGGCACTGTCTCAGGTGTGAACCCACCTACCCTGGTCTCCAGACTGGAGATGGGGTGAATGACGCCCCAGCCCTGAAGAAAGCAGAGATCGGCATCGCCATGGGCTCCGGCACAGCCGTGGCCAAGTCAGCAGCAGAGATGGTACTGTCGGATGACAACTTTGCCTCCATTGTGGCTGCAGTGGAGGAAGGCCGGGCCATCTACAGCAACATGAAGCAATTCATCCGCTACCTCATCTCCTCCAATGTGGGCGAGGTCGTCTGGTGAGGCTCCAGCCCCTCTTTCCAGCTCTCTAGACCATACGCATCCCTGAGACCAGGGAAGCACCCGTTCCTGGGATGGGGCTGCTGGGATGGAGGAGCACGTGACTTGCCCTGGCTGGGGCCTTACAGGGTCTCACCTCAGGTGGGCCAGGACGGGGAGGCCCTGTCATTCTCGGGGCCCTGGTGTACCCAGCCCCCGAGGAGGTGCCTGAAAAGTCCTCTTATCATCCCTCCAGCCCTAACCTTCCCACTTTCAGAGTCATGCAAGATGGGAGAACTAGCCCCACCTCTGGACAGTGATGTGTTTGTGTGTGTCCATGGAGGGTGCACATGGTGTGTGTGCCTGAGTGAGAAGTGTGTGTGTGTATGTGCACCTATGTTCTATTGCATGTTTGGGGTGAGTACAAGCACAGGGATTTGTTTAGGTGTATGGTTGTGTACACACTTAGGTTAGCATGTGAGAGATGGCTGTGGGCAATGGGGAGCTCGTGTTTGCCCGGACACGTGAATTCTGCATCTCTGTATGTGGGGCAAGCGTTTAGGTGCTTGTTTGTGTTTGTGGGATTGTGTAGCCTGTGCTGGGTTTTTGCTCATGCCTGTGAGCAAATGTGTACATGCTTGGCCATCACTGTCCACATGCGTATGCCCCAAAGAGGACTATGTCCTAGCAGGAGAGGCCTGAAGAGCAGATATGACCAGGCTCCAGAGCTGGGACTGGGGGAACTAGGGGCCCAGTGTGAGGCAGAGCTATGTACACACACCTCTCACTCATGCACACACATCAGAACTGGCAGGGCGAGGCTGGGCTGCTGAGGAGGGCGGGAGCTGGGCCCTCTATTGGCAGGGGCTGGAGCCTATGACTCTGGTTCCAGCATCTTCCTCACGGCAATCCTGGGCCTGCCCGAAGCCCTGATCCCTGTGCAGCTGCTCTGGGTGAACCTGGTGACGGATGGCCTGCCTGCCACCGCCCTGGGCTTCAACCCTCCAGACCTGGACATCATGGAGAAGCTGCCCCGCAACCCCCGTGAGGCCCTCATCAGCGGCTGGCTCTTCTTTCGATATCTGGCTATTGGAGGTAAATGGGGGACCCCAGCTTTCAGAGGAGTTCCAAGAGTTTCCTAGGACCCTATATCAGCTAGGCTTGCAAACTGCAGACAGTATGGCTCAGCCTGGCTTGTGCCAAAAGAAACTGTGCGAGCTGATCTAACTGAACAGACTAGAGCTGGCTTCAGGCATGGCTGGACCCAGGCCTCAGACAGTAGTAGCACTGGCATATTTTGGCTCTGCCTCAGTTCCATCCTCAGGCAGGTACCTCTGTGGTGGCAGAATGGCTGCGGCAGCTCCAGCCCTCGTGCTTACTCCATTGCAACCCCAAATTCAATAGGAGAAAGAGCTTGTTACCATTCTACTCCCTCAGCAGTAGGGTAAAAGCCTCAGGCCTGTTCTCATTGGCCCAGATTGGTTTACCTGCTTGTCTCTCAGCCAATCACTGTGGCCAGGGGTGTGACACGCCGAGTGCCAGTCCCGGCCCACCACTGGCTCATGTGGCCTAGAGAGGGAGCGGGTGGTGTCAGGGAATTATTGGGGAGGGGAAGGAATGCCGGAAAACCACACTTGTCCACTGTAGCTGGTTTCCTCCTGCCCTCCCTGCAGTGTACGTGGGCCTGGCCACCGTGGCTGCTGCCACCTGGTGGTTCCTGTATGATGCCGACGGACCTCACATCACCTTCTACCAGCTGGTGAGTGACAGCCAGGGAGCCTGTTGGGGTGATTTCCGAGTTGGAGTTTCAGGGGGAAGGGGCTCAGGGAGCAGCCCGGCCCCCCGAGCTGGACACGAGGCTACTCCCTCTCCCAGGCTTTTAGTTAGGGGGGACCAGAGGCATGACTGCCCATGAGCATCTTACCTTCATTGAGGAGCCCCCAAAACATTGAAGGCTCAGAAAGATGAGCCCCTAAAGCAGTGGTTCTCAACCTTCTGGCCCTTTAAATACAGTTCCTCATGTTGGGACCCAACCATAAAATTATTTTCGTTGCTACTTCATAACTGTAATGTTGCTACTGTTATGAATCATAATGTAAAATATCTGATATACAGGATGATCTTAGGCGGCCCCTGTGAAAGGGTCGTTCGACCGCCAAAGGGGTCGCGACCCATAGGTTGAGAACCGCTGCCCTAAAGGATGCAGCTTCAGGCAGAAGGTCAAGCTTCAGGCAGAGATCAGGAACCTGCCAGGCTCCCCCCCCCCCAAAAAAAAAAACCAACATATTTTTCGGAGCAGGGACCCCCTGACCTCTCGAAGTCACCTGGCTGGCAGGTGCCCTCCACAGGGTTCTCTTAGCACAGCACAGTTCTGGAAACAAGCACGGAGACCCCCCCAGCCTCTGTCTGTCAGTCTGTCCCTCTGTCTGAGCAGCCAGGCTATCTCCTTTGCTTGCAAGAGCCTTCTGGCGGGTGTGTGGGTTTGTCGTTGAAAGCCGAGAGCGGCAGGGATGCAGGGTTTCCTTCTGAGTGCCGCCTTTGCTACGTTCCTGCAGACAGAGGAACCTGCGGGAGGGGTCCTGACTCCTGCCCCATCCCTGGAGTGTCAGGGGACCGCCCTGAGGGCAGTGCCGGGGCCGGGCTACCGGCGCTGGCCCTCCCTGGGGAGCCTGTGATTTCAGGGGTTCCCCGGTGTTCCCATCTAGGTTGAGGCAGTCCAGGGACACTTTCCTGGCACCTGCCAGCCCTCAAGCACGTGGGCAGCAGTGTAGGGCATGGGCCCAGCTCTCACCCCAGATGCTGAGGTCCAACCCCAGCAGGTCCAGGGGTCCCCAAAGGTGTGGACGGAGTCGGCGAAGAAGGAATGACACGGAGACTGCGTTCAGTTGATCAGCAGCCTACCCAGGATCTCTAGCCAAGTTCTGGTTAGGATCTCCAGCGAAGTTCTGGTTAGGATCTCCAGCCAGGTTCTGTGTCCATGTTCTCTTGCTAGGTTCTCCAGCCAGGTTCCCCAGGTTCCCCAGCCAGGTTCAGTCACCAGATTCTGTAGCCAGGTTCTTCAGCCAGGTTCTGGCTAGGTTCTCCAGCCAGGTTCAGTCACCAGGTTCTAGTCAGGTTCTCTTGCCATGTTCTATCCAGGTTCTTCAGCCAGGTTCTGTCTCTAGGTTCTGTGGCCAGTTTCTGTCCAGGATCTTTTGCCATGTTCTCTCCAGCGAAGTTCTTCTGTCTCTAGGTTCTGTGTAGGTTCTGTGTAGGTTCTGTGTCTAGGTTCTGAGTCCTGTTGTCTTGTTACATCTGTATTTATACCAGTTGATTCCAATCCTATCAATCTCTATTCCAAAGGTTAGGGCGTTTCTTATCTCCATTCCAGGGAGTAAAGATTATGTAGCTTAAGCATGATTGTTCGTAGTTAAAGTGATTTAATTACCCACCTGGCACTTAGTTAAGGGGTTTTATTCCCTCCCTAACTTCAGGGGAAAATCCCTACCTGGGGAAACAACCTTTCTCAGAGAGGTGACCTTGGTTAAAACACATAGTGCCAAGAAGGTGAGCAAACATATTAAGAACAGTATGCCATATACGCCAGGTCCCTTGAAACAGCAAGGATGGACCGGCTCCCGGCACCCAGAGACTGGTGCCCCAGCCCTCAGGAGATGTCAGGTGCTCGGCACCTCAGCTAATTTACCGCCAGTGGGAGCCCCAGGTGGAGATGGGGCCGTGCTGACCATCCCGCGGCTGCCTTCTTACAGCCCCGTGTTTACTACGATCCTTTATACTGCGGATCCCAAATCTCCAAGGACCTACCCACCCCCCACCTTCTGACCGCAGACCCATGTGTCCAGCTGGCTCTCTCTTCCGGGATATCCCACAGACCCATGGCACGCACCACTTCCAAAATCAAACCTGTCACCCGCCCCCAAATCCCCTCTCTCCTCCCTCCCCATCTCAGGTTCACTATCTGCCCGTCACCCAAGCCAGACACCTGGGGGTCATGCCAGGCACATATTCCCCATCGGCCTCCAGTCTTCCCGGTGCCACCTTCCCAACAGTCCTCCGGTCATCCCCTTTCTCACTTACCCACTTGGCCAGCCAATGGCTGCTAGGCACCGACTGTGCCAGGCACAGAGCACTAGGGCTGTGGCAGTGCCCGAGCAGGCGGAGTCTGCAGAGGGCTGGGGTCTGGAGCGGGAGAGCCTTGGAAATGGGCAGTCGCACGTCAAGGTGGGAAGCCTTTCAGCAGAGACAAGGCAGGTGGCCGTGGGACCGGAGGTGGTCCAGGGTTAGACCTCAGGTAGAATTCTAGCTCTAGTTGTTGGAGTTTCGGGAGAGGAGCCCAGAGCCCCCGAGTTCCTGGAATAAGCTGCCCGAAGGCAGCAGAGTGGCTCCGAGCACGGAGCACGGAGCCGGACCCAGCCCCGGTGCACACCCTCGTGCTCCCACACGCTAGCGTGACTGGACAGCTACTGGACCTCGCGGTTGCTTTCCTCATCTGTAAAACGGACAACGGTCCCTGTCTCATAGCGTATCGAGAGGATTAATCGAGTCAATACTCGTCAAGTGTTTACCTGTGGTCGGCAGACTGCGGCTCGCGAGCCACATGCGGCTCTTTGGCCCCTTGAGTGTGGCTCTTCCTAAGCCTTAGGAGGACCCTAATTAAGTTAATAACAGTGTACCTACCTATATAGTTTAAGTTTTAAAAATGTGGCTCTCAAAAGCAATTTCAATCGTTGTACTGTTGATATTTGGCTCTGTTGACTAATGAGTTTGCCGACCACTGGTTTAAACCAACAGGGCACATATATACGTGTTGATTAAGCTCGTGAAGCCCAGAGGAGCCTCGCAGGAGAAGGCAAAAGGGAAAGAGCCAGGGAGGCAAAGGCAAGGGGTACGCAGAGCAGTGGCTTCACCCAAAGAAACGGGCCCCACTTCCACAGGGGCTCCCCGTGGACCCGGGAGACAGGCCTGAGCACCTTCTAATAAGCAGTTTGGAGGCCTCACTGTGACCCATGGCCCGGGTGTCATCGTGTGTGGCAGGTGCTCACTGGTGAAACCCAGAAGGTCTGAACAGGGCAGGGTGCTTATGGCCAGAGCAACAGATTGATTGAAACATCTGCTGTGACCCTGTTCAGATTTCCTCCCTGTGCACATGCAGAAGGATCTGGGTGAGCACGCAGGTGCCCAAGAGGGAGGCGTGCACTGCACGCGTGTACGTGTACCCAGGGGCCACTGCCATGGCCGGAGCCTTCGGCCCTCTTGGCCACTGGGTGGGTTCAAGGTATATGTTCAAGGCAACGAAAACATGCCTTATCCCAACCAAATCCCGGAGCTTGCTTTTTGGGAAAATCACACTTTTGACTTAAGACTCTCTATCTTTTTATTTATTTATCTATTATTTAAAAAAAAATTGGTTAATCCTCTCCCAAGGATATTTTTCCCATTGATTTTTTTTTTTTTTTTTTTTTTTTTTTTAGAGAGAGTAGAGGGGGGGATGGGGGAGAGAGAGAAACATCGATATAAGAGAGGCACATCAATTAGTTGCCTCCTGCATGAGTCCTGAATGGGCTGGGGATTGAACCTGCAACCGAGGTACGTGCTCTTGACCGGATATCAAACCCCTGACTGTTTGGTGTGCAAGCCTACGCTCTAACCCAGTGGTTCTCAACCTTCTGGGCCTTTAAATATAGTTCCTCATGTTGTGACCCAACCATAAAATTATTTTCGTTGCTACTTCATCACTGTAATGTTGCTACTGTTATGAATCGTAAGGTAAATATCTGATATGCAGGATGGTCTTAGGCGACCCCTGTGAAAGGGTCGTTCGACCGCCAAAGGGGTCGCGACCCACAGGTTGAGATCCGTTGCTCTAACCTCTTAACCACACCAGCCAGGCTACCTCTTTTTACTAAGCTAAGACATCTAGCCAGGCCACCAACTCTCGTACTTTCTCACCCTGCATGAACGTGCCAGCAGCCCGTTCCGGCTGAGTCAGCTCCCCCGTGGTTGTGCGGTGTGGGAAAGTGGAGGTCAGACTGACAGTCATTTCACAGGTTCCTCTTTGAGGGTTATTTTCACAGCCCATGGCCCCAGTTTCTACACCCTTCGCTGCAAAGATCTGAGTTCAGATGAGACTCCAGAGCACAAACTTACGTGACAGGACAAGGGCGCTGTTTAACGTCAGGCTTGTTCACACTCCTCCCGCGACGCGGAAGGGAGCGAGCCGGGCTCTCCCGCGGGGCTCAGTTCTGCACTTGCCACAGCAGCTCCCCGAGCCAGCCGAGCGAGGTTCAGGGTGGAGGAAACTCCCCGGGGGCTGCGCGGGCGGGCGGGGCCGCTTCCTGAGCGACCCTGAGCGCCTCTTGCTGATCACGGAGGAGGCGGGCGTGAGACGGTGTCTGGCGATTCCTTAGTTCAAAAGCAAAGGGCAGATCAGGCGGAGCCCCGTTTCAGCGGCATAAATGGAGGAGGGATGAAAGGAATCGAATGCATCAGTACTGAACAGGGCACATGTACTCACTCTCTACCCTCCAGAGGTGACCTCCATTCAAGCACAATTTTACTGGTTTTCCCAATGTTTACGTATTCAGTGTTCTCAGTTCACCACCAGCCCCGCTCCTGGGCCCTCCCCCTGAGCCCAGCTCCCCCGCCCCCCACTGTCCTCCCCAGCCTAATGCCAGCCGCGCTCTCTGTCTGCCCTTCTCCCTGGCCCAGTGCTGGCCACCTGCCCCATCTGGGCCAGCACCCTCCCTCGAGCCACCGCGTGGCAGCCCCTTCTCCCTGGTCGTGTGGAGTCCTCAGATGTGGGCGAGAGGTGGAGTGAGGCTTCCTTCCCACAGCCAGCGCCGTCCGTCCCTGACCGCTGTTCTCCCCGACCCCGCCTGACCCTGCCTGACCCCGCCTGACCCCGCCTGACCACGCCTGACCCCGCCTGACCACACCTGACCCCGCCTGACCCGCCTGACCCCGCCTGACCACACCTGACCCCGCCTGACCCCGCCTGACCACACCTGACCCCACCACCGTTCCCTCAGAGGAACTTCCTGAAGTGCTCTGAGGACAACCCGCTCTTTGCCGGCATTGACTGCGAGGTTTTCGAGTCGCGCTTCCCCACGACCATGGCCTTGTCTGTGCTGGTGACCATTGAAATGTGCAACGCCCTCAACAGGTGAGCTGGGCAGAGGGGCCCGGAGCTGGGGGTGAGGGATGGCGGCTGAGGCTTCAGACTAGGGGGCTGAGGGTCAGGTGGGGCCCAGGGTTGGGGTCTGAAGAAATAGAGGGGCCAGGATTGGGTTTGAGGGACAGAAAGGGGGTCCCGGCCCCCGTGGGCTGAGCGGGCAGCAGTGACACACCCTTCCAGGCGCACTGACCTCCCAGAAGTGCTCCGTCCTCAGACCCAGATTAGGGACATGTGAGGCTCAGGCCACCCCTCACCTCCACACGGGGTGGATGGGCCCACGGCAGGGCTGCCTGCATCCTGGCCCAAGGTGAGCGCCCTGTGCCCTTGGCAGCGTCTCAGAGAACCAGTCGCTGCTGCGGATGCCACCCTGGCTGAACCCCTGGCTGCTGGCAGCTGTGATCATGTCCATGGCCCTGCACTTCCTCATCCTGCTCGTGCCGCCCCTGCCTGTGAGTGGGGCGCCCCCCACCCCGCCATGCCCTCCTGTAGCTCCCAAGCGACCAGGTCCAAGTCCTCTGACCTACAGCCTAGGCCTGGTGGCTTTGCCCTGGCAGCCCTGGAAGATGGGAAGGGAAGGTCTGAGAGGTTCAACGCACGGGGCCTGTGCTCAGCCCATGACAAGCCACCATCCTCCAGATAGGTCCCCACATCGGCAGCACCCAGACTTGGGGAACAGAAGGGGTGGGGGTCCCCCAAGGGAGGGGCAGGAGGACAGACTACGCTCTTCCCTGGTGCGGAATCCCTCCCACTGCCCAACGGGACCAGGGGGATTGGTCCTGGGGTGAGGCTGGGAGGGCACTTGCAGCAGAGAAAGCGGGTGCACAGGGATCTGGGGTGGGGCCTCGGGGGGAGTCCCGGACGTCCTCAGGGAGAGTCCCTTCTGCCTGGGGGATGAGCGGTGGCCTGCGGGGCACGGGACAGCCCTTCCTTTAACCAGCCTCCCCCACAGCTCATTTTCCAGGTGACCCCACTGACTGGGCGCCAGTGGGGGGTGGTGCTGCAGATCTCTCTGCCTGTCATCCTGCTTGATGAGGCCCTCAAGTACCTGTCCCGGCACCACGGTGAGTGGGAGCCCTAGCCCCCTGCCCCCCCCCTCCTGCCCGCCTCTGCCATCCGGCTGCAGCGAGCGGTGCCGGCATCAGCCTCTGTGGCTGTGGGGACATGAGGGGCTCTGGTGGCTGGGGCCCGCGGTGTCTGCAGGGGTAGGGACCCTGGGAGCCCGTGGGGGCGCTGCTCAGGGCCGCACTGCCTCTCGCTCACCTTCCTGCCACCAGCCCCTCACGGCCAGGCTCGCTGACCCACCAGCCCCCAGACCACACCGGTTGGCCTCTTCGCTGTCACCTTGTGGGCTGGGAGAGGAGTGGTTCTCTGTTTCTGAATTCACAGCTCTAGGTCTGCCTTAACCTAGGAATCGAGGGCAGGAGGGCAGGGGTTGGGGTGGGGGCAGCGTGTAGAGGAGTGGCCTGGGGCATGGCGCCCAGCGGCTGGCTTCTGCCTGAGGGCCTCAGGGTGGGTGGTTCTGCCCTGCGGCATCGTCTCATGGTCAGGCAGCCCGGAGAGGGAGGAAGCAGAGGCGAGAAATTCCTGGTTCCAGGGACCTGGGGCCAAGGAGGTAGCGCCATGGCCAGGCTGCTGGGAGCCAGGGTTCCACCCGCAGTGGCAGTGGCGAGGCCGGCTGGGAGCTGGGTCCCTGAGGCCATCTCAGCAGGAATGTGTCCGGGCCCCAGGGGAGGGAGCCTGGAGGGCTAGAAATAGAGCCTGTGCTGTCACTTCACTGGGGGAAGGCATGCGATCCCCCATCTCCCCCCCATCTCCCACGCCAGCCAGCCCCCCTGGGTGCTGCAAATACTTTATTTTATTAGAAAGGCTGAAACAAGCTGTCCTTCTCTCTCTGGCGAAGCTGGCCCACCACAGATCTGTCCAGAGGGGGGCCTGGCAGGTGGGGGGTGGGGGAGCCCAGGAGGGTGGAGGTGGGTGCTCAGACAAAGCAAGGCCTATTGGAGCCCACGGGTGGGGTGGGGGCAGCCCATGTCTGGGGGAGGGGGAGCCGTACAAGGCATTCTGCGTGGATACTCCTGGGGAGGTGCAGGTAGGGAAATGGGTCTGTGGCCTAAACCCCCATCCACGGGAGCACAGGGTGGGTTAACCAGGAGATCCTCTGCCAGCCTTGACCACACTGACTCACCTGCGAAGCCACGCCTCCTGGGCACGTGGCTGGCTCGGGCAGCTTCTCCGTCTCCCTCAAGAGCCTTCCCCAAGTGGCCACAACTGCCAAGGGGTTCGGCTCATTTTCTTGACAAAACTTAAAGGTGAGAAAATGTCTCAGCCAATGGGGAAAGCCGGAGTCGTGGGCACTGCCCAGCTTGGGCCTCTGGCGTGAGGGACTCTGGGCCCAGGCGCAGGGAGCGGGGCCCTGGCTGATGGGACAGGTCGGGCAGAGCGGGGCCTGGAGGAGGGCGGGATGAGCAGGGCTGGCGTCCCTCGTGGGGCTGGAGCTTGGAGTGCAGGGCAGAGAGGTGAGGCCAGAGGTGAGACAAGGCCTCAAATGCCAAGGGGAGGACCCCGGACATTATCCTCAGGGCCATGGGAGCCACAGAGGGTGGACGCATGGGAGGGATGGGTGAGCATGGAGGATGGACGGACAGATGGGTGACACTAAAGGCAGGAGGCTGGTCAGGGGCAAAGGCCCAGGCAGCCGCTCCACATCCACCATTAACCTGAGATGCTGACCATGGTCCCAGAGAGGTTTGGCTTTAAAAGGTGGTGCCCTGCTGTCGCTGGAGCCCAGACAGCTTGCTCTCCTTGTGCGGCTGCAGTCCCTGGGGCCTCCTCAAGCCGACGGGGCGGGGGTGAGAGAAGGGACCCTGTTACATTCCCAAGCCAGTCTGGTGGCCTTTTAGGGAAGTTTTGCTGAGGCCCGATGCTCATGGCCTCAGTGTGGTTTATGGGGTGTGTCCTGGGGAGAACTGTGGATCCCGGGTCAACACCAGGGGTTGAGGGTGCGGGGGGCTCTTGCCCCACCCACTGGCTCTCCCAGGTGTGGCTGAGCAGAGGCCCGCAGGCTGAGCTGAGGGGAGGGGAAGCCTGGAGAGGCCGAGAGGGTCCGACCTGGGGGGGCCCAGCAGCCTGGCCTTTACTCTGAGGGCGGTGGGGAACCCCAAGGGGCTGATGGGCTGGATCTGTGGTGTGATGCCAGGGGTGGGAGGGTGATGGTGAGGTAAGATGGCAGCTGAAGGCAGGCTGAGAGGCCTTGTACCTGGGGCAGCCGAGAGAGAGAGAGAGAGAGAGAGAGAGAGAGAGAGAGAGAGAGAGAGGAGCTGGTGGGATGGGGGTGGGGAAATCAGCAGGCTAGGGAGGGGTCAAGGCCGCATGGTGTCTGGCTGTCATGATGCTGGACTGTGGTTCTTAACATTAAAAACAAGAAGCGATGCGGTTGCGGGGGGGAGTGGGGGTGGGCTCGGGGCTGACGGAACACGTGGTGTGCAGGAGCCGGGGCATCCGGGGGAGCCTGGGCTGCAGCTCAGGAGATGCAGGGTCCGGGGGCCGCTGAGTGGGGTTGTGTGGGGGAAACGCGGGGTGGAAAGGCGGAAGGAACCAGCCTGGATGTGTGCTCTCATCACACAGCCTAACACACTCTCTGGTTTGTCTTCCAGAAGGAAAGGACCGGAAGTGAGCGCAGGGGCAGAGCGGAGTCTCCAGCGTGTACCTCATCCTGCTGGTGCCCAGCATTCGCCCGCTCCCGCCTGCCACCACGCCGGCCAGCCGCTCGCTCACCGGGCCCTCCCGACGGAGGCTGGACTGGCTCCGGTCCTGCCCCCATGGCCGTCGTCCCCTCTGTCTGCCTGGGGGCCCTACTGCATGTCTCCGGACGCTCCTGGGGAGTTTGCCCCCAAAGATCTGGCCCGGGAGGGGCCTGCCCAGAAGCCAGAGCTGGTGGCCCATCCTGAGACGCAGAGCCCTGCACCCCCAAATCCACGAGCACCTTCCGGAGCCCGCGCCCCCTTGCTTGGAGGCTGGGCTTTCCTCGGTGCCAGGCGTCTCTACCGAAAGAGGACTCCTTCGGGCCCCGCCCTCTAGCTGTGACCTCTCACTTAGTGCCTGGTCTGGGAGCTGGTCAGCTGGGGGTGGGAGGGGGACATCTGGGCCCAGCTGTGCACAGCCAGGGCAGGCCACCCCCACCCACTCTGCGCTGCTTCCACAGAGGCGGCTCCTGAGGGCTTGGGCCTCTTTCTGTTTATGTGCACGGGGAGCTGAAGGGTCAGAGAGACAGGAGTGGGGGAGGAGGCTGGGCCAGGACCCTCTCCTGGGAGACAGCCAGCCTGCCTGCCTCTGCTCGCCTCACTCCTGAACTCAGGGTCTCGGTCCTAAGCAGACGATACGTGTCCTCTCGGTGCCGCCTTGTCTACCCAGCAGCGGCCGGGCCTGCCCTCTGTGTGCCTGGCAGCTGAGACCTCAGCTCTCCTGCGTCCCTGACAGCCATGCCCTCCCACCCAGTCCCACGCCTGCCCGTCTCGTGGTCCGCACGGCTGGGTGACCCTGAGTCCCTGGGCTCTTGGCCTCACTCTTTGCCCCCAACCCCACACACCCGAGAGCGGAAAGGATGTTGCTCAGAATGGCTAGCTGGCAAGGCACTTTTCTCCCTCCGGCAAGATCCGCGTGGATCGTGTGTGTCGGGCGGGAGGGAGAGCCTTTGATGGACAGAATGTTCTTGTAACCCAGCTTTTGCCCCTTTGGCAAGAATTAGTTGTAGAAGAAAGCCCTGAGTAAATGACGTGTCCTCTCCCTACCGAGTGTACAAAGTGATTATTTATATGCAAATCAAGACTCACATTCCTGTCCTGCCCGCCCCCACCTTCCCCTCGGCCTGCCTTGCGACTAGTGGGCTCCAGGCTCTATGGCACCTCCCCCCCCTCCCCTCGCTCACAGGTTCTGGAGGGGCTGAGAGATGCAGAGCTGGGCTGGCGGGGGGCGGGAGGGGATGTGGGGGTGTGGGGGGGATCTTGGTGGAGGCAGGACCTTGCCCACCTGCTGACGTGCAGTTTGGTGAAATAAAGGTTGAGTGCCTGGGACATGGGAGGACGTCGGTGTCTGTGTTCCCGGAAAGTGGTCCCACCATCTGCCCTCGTCTACCTGGGGTCCCCCACCCCAGAATGGCTCCGCGAAGGTCCGAGGCGCCCCCGTCGCCAGCCAGGGATCCTTGTCTTCTGAAACCAGGCCCAGGGGAGGCGCAGACTTCCTGAGCCTGCTCCTCCCAGAAACGATGTGTAATCATATATGTGTTTTCCGATGGTCTTAGGCGACCCCTGTGAAAGGGTCGTTCGACCCCCGAAAGGGTCGTTCGACCCCCAAAGGGGTCGCGACCCACAGGTTGAGAACCGCTGCTTTACACACATGGCAATTCACACGTCACCAGGAGGAGCCTGAGGCTGGGAGGGGTTCAAAACGTGCCTGGGGCAGGGCTGGGCCTGGAGCCTTGGCAGCTCTGTAGGTCTATGACGCCCTGAGTTTTCTTGCTCGGTTTCCTTCCCCTCCTGGAGCCCGGAGGCCATCTGCTTCTGGCCCTTCTGAGCCCAGCTCCCATGTGCCTTCCGAGGCCGCCTCAGCTCAGAGTCTGGAGCCTCAGCTTGTGCTGCTGGAGGCCCCCTCCTGACCCCCCGGGGGCCTGCCCTGGAGCAGGGTCTCTGGGAAGCAAATCGCCTGTTACCCCATCCCCGGTGACCCCCTGGATGGAAGACTCACTAGGAAGGTTCCAGATCTTTTCAGCTGCCCACAGGGCCCGAGGCAGGACTGACCACATAATGTGCTGGGCTCAGTGCCAATGAAAATGTGGAGCCCCTTGCTCAAAGATTAAGATTTTCATAACAGACAGCAGCACAGTGGACCCGGCGCAGGCCCTTCTGAACACGGGGCCCCAGAGGCCGCATGTCCATGCAGCCCGCTGTGACCGCAGGAGCCAGGCCCGCCCTGGGGAGCACCCAGGGTTCAGTTGCCGGGAGGGCAGAAGGGCCATCCAGCCCTCTTAGACCACAAAAACCTTCCCATCCTCCTCGTCTGCAGGGTCCTCAACCAGCTCCATGCGACGGGCCAGGCGGGGTCAGGGCGCACCTTACAGACAAGGAGGCGAGGCCCCCTGAGAGCCTGACACCGGGCTGGCCGCACAGAGGCAGACAGGCAGGGCTTGGAGATAAGATGAGCCGGGGCTTCCGGCCGCCGCCGGGGCTCAGGGCCAGGCCGGCCTGAGCCTGGCCTTGTCCAGCCGCAGCATGGAGCCCGACCGGCCAAGATGGAGCAGCCAAGGTAAACAGAGGTTCCCCACCTCACCGCCGCCCGCCAGGGGCAGGAGGGAATTCCAGGGCAAGCCCGGCACGCTTCCCGCGGGCTCAGAGGTGCAGCTGCCAAAACGCTCAGGGCCTCCCCGTACCCCCTTCAGCCACCAGGACTTGGTGCTCCCCATGTCCCCACGCTGCGCCCCTCACAGGGTAGGAGGGACCCCAGCTGGGGCTGCACCGGGAGAAATGAAGGGACAAAAACAGAAAACGAAGACCGATGCCCATATAAGACCCAAATGCAGGTGACCTAGCAGCTGTGTTCATTGTCGCCCCAAACCGGAAACAGCCCAGATGTCCATCAGCAGGGGAAGGACAGACAGGCAGCGGTGTGTCCGCACCATGGGCTATGCGGCAATAAAAAGGAACATGCCCATATATGCAGCGGCACGGATGGCGCCGAAAACCCTGGTGCTGAGTAAGAGAAGCCAGACACCAAGAGAGCGGATCCTGTGCCCACCTCCATGAGGTCCCAGAACAGGCAGCGCGCGTCTGTAGCGAGCAAGCAGGTCACAGGGCCTGGGGCGGGAGAGGGGCTGGCGGGGCAGAGGGAACATCTAGGGAGACGGGTGGGGGGTCACATGCATTTGTCAAAACTCATGGGCCTGTGCCCGAAATGCGCACTTTTAAATCCCATGTGAAGTAGCCCTCGATGCAGTTTGATTTGGAAGAAAAAACGAGAGGAGCCAGAGGAGGTGGGGGAGGCACGCAGCTGCCATGCGGGTGCAGGGGAGGTGGCATCCTCGGTAAACGGGGAGGCCACCACCTCCCCAGGGAGCTCAGTGTCTGAGGGGCCGTGAGGAACCCCACATCCAGGGGCAGGAAGAGGCTGGGGACCAAGAGGAAATAGCCCAAGAGGAGGAGCATTATGGGGGGAGGGGAGGCAATGCCTCAGATACTTAGGGGGAGAGGCTCCAGCCGGCCCTGATCACAGTGGGGCATAAAGGAAGCCAGAGGAGCAGTACGAGGTCTGAGCAATGGGGAGAAGTCACCCTTGGGGGCCCCCGCTGCAGCCACGCCACAGCTGCCCACTCCCCCACCGCCCCTTGGCAGTCTCTGTTAGGCCGGCTCAGGGCCCTGCTCCGGCCGGCACCTGAGGGGCTGTGGCATTGGGTGGGGTCGGGGGTTGGACTGAACTCTGCGGGCAGAGGTGTGGCCCCTGCAGTCGTGGGACTCTCAATGGCTAAGGAGACCCGTTGGAGCCTGTGCTGACCCCCTGAGGGCCCCGGGCCGGCCTCCAGGATGGGCACACGGCCCCGTCCACGCTCTGCAGGGCCGCTAAATTTAGCCAGGCAGGGGAGGCTGTCCTGGGGCCGAGCGCTTGGCAGCACAGCCTTGTCTCCCTACAAGGCCTGGCCGGTGCCCAAGCTGGACACCCGGCCTTTGGGCTTATAAGGCCGGTCTGGAGACACCCAAGTGCTGGAGTCTGGGGGGCGGGGGCTCTGGGCCAAGCTCTCAGACTTTGGGGAGCCTCCTTCCTGGCGACCAGCAGACATGGGAGCCGCTTGCTGCGTGATCTTGGGCAAGGCACTCAACTTGCGAGCCTCAGTTTCCTTGTCTGTAAAATGAGGATTCGAGTGCCTGCCTCCCAGGGCTGATTTTTAAAACGCCTACTGATGGCAAAGGAACCGGGTCCCTATAAACTCCAACCCCTGCCCTGCCACCTCCGTTCCCCACGCCTAGAATAGCACAGGTGTCTGTCCTTGGGAGGCTGGGGCTGGGGCTGGGGACAGGAAAGCACAGGCCTCAGACGGAAAGGTCTATCTGAGAACCAGTGAGAAGAGACATTGACCTCACCAGTGACTCTTGGGACTTTAGTAGCAAAAACTTTCATGTGTCCCCACCTGGGTTGCTCAGTGGTTACAGCGTTAGCCCGCGGACTGAAGGGTCTCGGGTTCCATTCCGGTCAAGGGCAGACCCCTAAATTTCGGCTCAATCAGGGTGGGTGTGGGAGGCAACCAATTGATGTGTCTCTCTCACATCGATGTTTCTCTCTCTGTGTCTCTACCTCTCCCTTCTACTCTCTAAAAATCAAGGAGAGTATATGCTTGGGTGAGGATTAACAACAATAACAAAAATTTAAAAATATATTTTAAAAAAATTTTAAACAGAAAATTAATTTGGGGAGAGAGAAGTTACTGCTTTTATTTCATTTTCTTTTGGGCGTTCTTTGTTTGTGGTAACATCCAGATGAGACAGTCCCCCTTATCAGTCTGCTGTGGTTTTTTGTTAATCCTCACCTGAGGATATTTTCCTTTGATTTTAAGAGAGAGTGGAGGGGAGGGAGAGAGAGACACACATCGATTGTTTGCCTCCCACGCACACCTCAACCAGGACTGAGATTGAGCCTGCAACTGGGATACATGCCCTTGAACAGAATCGAACCCAGGACCCTTCAGTCCGCAGGCCGATGCTCTATCCACTGAGCCAAGCCGGCTAGGGCCTTGCCAATCTGTTTTCTGAGTGTCAGGGTCAGAACTGAGGCCATAACAGCAGCATACGTGTGCACCCCAAGCCAATATGTCTGAGTGGCTGAGGGGACGCACTGGAGCCTGTGCCCACCCCCCTTGAAGGCCTGGGCTGGCCTCCAGGAAGGACGCAGGCCCCTCCACACTCCACGGAGTGAAATTTTAGCCAGGCACGGGGGCCACCAGTCCATCTGTCCATCTGCCCATCAGCAAGCCTGGATCCTTGGAGGAGAAGGAGGAGAGGGAGGAGGAGGAAGAAGGGGAGGAGGAGGAGGAGGAGTAGAAGGAGGAGGAGGAGGAGGAGGAGGAGGAGGAGGAGGAGGAGGAGGAGGAGGCCATGGTAATGGTATGAAAGGGACAGGCACCGATTGGAGAATGACTGCCTGTCTTCCCTCCCTCTCCCCCTCTCCTTTGCCCCTTCCCCCCTTATCTAGCACCTGCTGCCCTCCTGAGTGTGGTGTGCCAGCGGGGATGTGAGTGGAGTGGACACAGATGGCTTAGACACAGTGTCAGCATCCTCCCCACTCCCCATCGCAAGCAGTTCTCGTCCTGAGCCTGCTCTTCCCAGTGCCACAGGGTCAGCTGGGAAGGCGACAGGCCCTTTTGTCTGGGGTCAAGACGGGGCCAAGGGGATGCTACTGCCACAGCTCTGGCTCCCAGCATCTCTGGGTTTTTTCTTAGAAAAGCCCAGGATGTGGTTCTCGCTGGCCCCCTTGAAGATGGCGTCCGACAGACTGTTGAGCTTGAGACTGGCAGGAACTCTGTGGGGTGAGGCTGATCTGTTTGACAGGGGGACTGGCCTGGGGTGCGGGATGGGGCCCCTTGCCGTCCAGAAAGTGGCTCTGCTCAGACAAGCAGCTAGGGTTCCCAGCCGGGGCCTGGCTCCTTGCCCAGAGCAATTTCCCGGCTCAAGGCCTGCCAGGAAGACGACTCCTATCAGCCTTCAGGCTGAGGCAGCTCGGGCTTGGGGACACAGTGGCCCTGCGGACACC